ATTTTCACACGATCACCATTACCCTCGTCGTCGGAATGCGACCTTTTCCTGTTCTTAATTCCGTCTTCGCCCTACAGAAGAAAACAGTATGTGCTGATTATTTCCACAGGATTGCTCAAAGCATAGTGTGCAGCCGCACTTGTTCGCCATTAGCATTTTTCCGCTCTTCCTTATTTCGTTTACCGGCTTTCTTTCGAAGGCAGTAATTGACAATGATGGGAACTCCATGAATCAAGACACCATGCTTCGTTTTAAAGGCTGCAAGTGCATCCTTCGCCTCAATAAATTCAACTTGCGCAGACCTGAGCCAAACTAACTTAGCAAAAAATGGAAATACGTACCCCAATGCTTTGTCCGGACCAGCATTAGGAAAGTCGACATTGCTTGCACCAGGGAAGAGGTATCTGATGTCATCTACCGTCGCAATTCGAGGAATACAAGATATCATCAGCTTGTTTAACTTGAAATCGTTAAGCTGGTAAATCCATGGATCGTTAAGGTACCCATTTTGGACTTTTTGCGATACTACCTCGCATTTAGGAGTTCGTCCTAGAAATTTCAACTGCATACCTCTCTCCAAGGCCTGCTTAGCAAGAGAGGCGGAAGAGAACTCAAGAAAGGCGTATCTATGAAGAGAAGTTAATCCATAAGACGCAATATAAATAACATAATTCACTGCAAAGCGTTACGTGAACAATGTCATGGTGCACAAAATAGGGATGAAGACATTCTGAAGTCGGAAATAAGCAGCGTTTCTGGCGAGAGAACAAACTCACTTTCGATTGCCTTTGAATTTTTTCATTGGAAATCGGGCATTAACAGGAGTTCTAAAAGCCTTAATAAGTGCGTTCAACTGAAGGGCCCACGGCAAGTGACTGACAAGGAGAGTACGGTCGTTTAGTTCGGCTGTAATAAGAAAATGCAGCGGAATCGTCGCAAGAGCTCTCCTTTATGGATTGAACTTACCCATTCGACTTCGAACTTGGTGTACTAAATCAGCTGAATCGGATAGTGATGACATTTTTGACTAGCAGAAAATACCTGCAACAAATACCAGTTTTCATACTGGGTTAATCATTGAAATCAAATGTAAAAAATGAAATATAAGGAAGCATCAGCTCTAACCCGCACAACTCGTGAAATCGAGAGTCAAAGGAATTCACGTGAATCAGTAATCCGCTTTAACCGGGCGACGTGTTACTCACATTAAAGATTGGAACGGAGAACAAAATATCAGGAGAAGCTTTAGGAGGATAGCTGTTCATGGCAAGCACAAAAAGTTTTTCTATGCTCGAAAACTATTTGAAAGCAGTTTTTGTGGATGAGATAACAATCGCCAATAGAAAAGTTTTACTATTGGTGAAGGGATTTTTAGACATTTACACTTAACAAGAAGAAGTTTTATACTTGGACGCCATGAGGGCATATCTCTAGTAACGCATAACTACTACTCGCAATGGAAATAGATGTGTTGTGACTGAGACCAGTAGCGTGCTGCGGATGCCAGTTAGGACAAAATAGTCACTAGGATAGCCTTAGGTAAAGAAGATAGATCGCTTCTAAGCTCTGCATTCCTGTGCTTTTATAAAGTACCAAAAAGGCTCAATGTTAAAGGTGCCTTTATTATATTCTAGAATTTCTCACCGCACTAGTTCCAAGTTCTTACAACCACAAGATTCGTTCAATAATTCCTTTTGTGGCCCCTAAATATGACTGAGCAGAACTGCTGATGCTAACCTCC